GGGACAGGAGGAGAATCAAGGGAAATAGAGGAAAGAGCTGGGAGGAAAAAGGCATTTATAGAGGTCTAGATAAAGACATGTACATATGCAAATATATTTATATGAGGAAGGGGAGCCTACATTTATAGGTTTAGTATTAAGGTTTAAAATATTTTATAAAGAAAAAAATACCACTACTTACTAAACCCTGACATGCCCCTACCTTACCCACTACTGGTGGTCTTCTATATTGGTATGGGACTTGTCCCATCTCTTTGGGTATACATACTGTTTATCCTACATGCAAAGCCTAGAAAATGCTACTTCCTCAGTAGACCTACCCTGCTGCCCAAGGGCAAAAGTTTCTCTCCTCTAAATTGCTAGGATACTTGATCTACACCTCTCTCACATTTACACATCTTTATGTGCACAGTCTCCATGTCCCCACTGTGCTGGAAACCGCTTATGTGTACGATCCATGCCTGATCCTTGAAGGCTGACCAGATATTCGTCTAAGTTAGTGAGTGCTGCTCAGACATAACCACAACTGAACGCTTATTTTCTCACAGTATAGGGGGCTAGAAGCCTTAAATGAAGGCACAACTCTAGAAGTCTCTCTCTCCCCACCTCTGGTCTCTTTTCAGCTTCTGTTTCTTGCATTTTTAGAGAGCTCAAGTGGCCTGCCAGGCATCTTCTCTGGCCACGTCTCTGCTTGGTTGTTCCCTTGCTTACTCTGCTGTTTTCAGATCTCAAAGAGATTGATCTCAGACACACATCTTACTCTGCTGTATTTATGATGTTCTGACAAAAGGTGTATTTTGTCCTTTAATCTACCTGTCGCACTAACTCTTCTCAGAAAAAAAAAAAAAAAAACGAACCAGACTCCCTTGTCTGTTGCATGTTGGTTTGGGAGGGAACCCGAGCTGAAACTCTCCTCCCTCCGAGTGATCAATGTGCTTACTTGTTCGCTCACAGAAGTTGACACTCTGGCTGAGGTTGTTGCCCTGACAGTTGCAGCTCCGGAAGGATCTTTCCGTGTGAAGGTAGCATTGCTGGGGATCAAGGCACGTGGGTGGAAACCAGGCGTAGCCATCCTCACAAGCACACTGCAGGCCTCCGTTCACGCTGCTACAGTCTGCAGGGGCAACAGTTTGGTACCATGTGGGCTGGTTAACGGTTTTGAATTCTGATCCCGGACTCGGGCTCAGAATCTGAACCTAGTATTTCTTAGGAAAAAATCAGAGGCATAACAATAACTGGTAATCTGCTCATGATAAGGAAATGTCCGACCCAATGTCCAATGCTGAGCTTGTGACAAGAAACGTAAAACCCAAACAAAACTAGTTGTGGTTGTCGGGTTGCCTCCAAGTCAGGATGACCCAAGCATGCCAGAGGAGAACAGTGCTCTGTAGGACTCTCAGTGGCTGCTCTGTCAGAAATGGACAGCCAGGCCTTTCCCCCTCCCCACCCCTCAATAATCTCATTTTCGTGATCACTCATATCCATATTTACTTATTTAGCATATTCATCTCATTAACATGAAAGAATGATTGTCCTTGATTTCTGTAAGCTTTTTTCAAAGGTGCTTAAAACAAAATTAATATCCTAGTAGGGATTGAATTATATTAATATTCTATTTAGTTACTTAACATAAAAGATTTTAGATAAAACTAAATCTGCCTTTAATTTGAATGTATACATACCCTACGACAATTTGGTACAGTTCGTACATAACATGTTAGTTAACTATTTATCTGAATATGAATACCTTTCTATTCATAAAAAATTAAAGGAACACTACTGGCTACACTAAAATATTGTTAACAGTTGTTGTAGTAATTATAATACTAATTTTATGCCTGTCACAAAGTAGCATCTATTGTTATTACATACCTCAAAATCTTAATACAGTAAGTTTTACAAGGGTTGGTTTTTAACTGTGGGTTGTATGTAAACTGGATGACCACACCCAGAAATTGTCTATTTATATATAAGCACATTTAAAGTTAGTCTGGGTGACGTCAAACTGCCAATCTTTCAGATGCAACTGTGCAGGCATCTTTTTTTTTTTTTTTTCAATCTAGGGACTCCATCAGAAACCAAGCACACGGAAAGTTTGCATCCGAAAGGACACATGGCCAGAGGATCGTCCTTGCGGTGGGAGAGAAGAAATCAAAGAGCTAATTGAGGATTTTTAGAGCGTGTCTGGCAAGTGTCTCAAGAAATGCCTTTCTCTACCACCACACACCGACCACCATTCCAAGGAAGTCCTTAAAGACAGACAGACTAGAGAGGACTGAAGACGGCTTTGGGATCGGTATGTTGGCACGCTCCAGCAACCCATCCTGGACAAGGTACTCTCATCTACATGACCTAAAATCCCCACCAAAAGCCCTTCCTCTTTCTAATAGACAAAAGAGGAGTGAAAACATGCACAGAGTCCTGCAGTGAACGGGAAGGATTTTAGAAATGAAAACATGAGGAGTGTTTTCATCTCTTTTCTGTCATATTACCAATTGGGCAACTTTGGTTGAATTTTCGAATACCTCTGAATCTCAGTTTCTTCGTGTATAAAATTTAAATAATAACAGCTACTTCTCCGTTGATTATAATTGTTATATCAATTCAAAGACAGTGTCTAGGGATGTCCTAAAGCCTAGCGTGTTAGTCTTGGTACTTTAGAGAAACAAATCCACAGAAACTCATGTATGAGAGAGAGGGTTTTTTTTGTTTTTTTTATGGAGATCACTGTACCACTTTATTTAATATCATTATACTTTTTAAAAATCATTTTATTAGGGGCTCATACAACTCTTATCACAATCCATACATACATCAATTGTGTAAAGCGCATTTGTACATTCATTGCCCTCATCATTCTCAAAATATTTCCTCTCCACTTAAGCCCCCGACATTAGGTCCTCATTTTACCCCTCCCTCCCCACCACCCCTCCCTCATGAGCCCTTGATAATTTATAAATTGTTATTTTATCATATCTTGCCCTGTCCGATGTCTCCCTTCACCCACTTTTCGGTTGTCCGTCCCCCAGGGGAGGAGGTGACATACAGTTCCTTGTAATCAGTTCTCTCTTTCCTACCCATTCTCCCTCTACCCTCCCTGTTTCGCCACTCACACCACTGGTCCTGTAGGGCTCAGAGAGTTTTTTTTATAAAGGGTAAGTGCACATCAAGAAAGCATCCCAACCCAGTGCTGCCCAAGCCCACATGTCCAACATTAACCCATATGTCCGACACCAATCCGCAAAGTCCTCTTCCATCTCATAAAACACATGCAATGATGCCGACTGCAGGAGGAAAGCCGAGTCCGTGAACGTGTAAGGATTTCAGCGTTGACAGGGGTCTCCACACGGGTGCTCCAGCACCCAGGGCTGCATCGGGGTAGATCCATGCTGCTTCTCTTTGGGGATGTCTTATAGGAAGTTAGCCTTGCCAGCTTAAGCAGGGAACTGGCTAAGGCAGCTGCACCCTGGTCCGACCATCACAAAGCAAGCGACCCAAGAACTCAAAAGGCGAGGCTCACTGAGTCATTTATCCCTCTGCCCTTCAATTAACCCCACATGTGTTTATTGGCCAGGTTGGCACAATAAACTAACTACCTCCCTTAGGGTAATCACTAAAAACAAAAATAATAACAATAGCAAAAGAATACATGTAAGGAATAAGGCAATAATGGAGATGAAATGAAAGCTTATCGGATACTCAATCCAAAACAAGTTAGAACAATAAAGAAAAAGAAAGCAAGGAGAAGAAAACAAATAGAAGTTCACTCCTTCTCCCAGGGGTAAGCTGCCTGGTATGCCTGTCAGGAGGTCCCAGCAAATCGGATTGGCTCTGAGACTTCAACTGTGTCTTGCACTGACCAATCCTCATTTCACTCCTGCTCCAGTTACCATCATCCCTAGATCCCCGCAGGAGCCTCCTATTGGTTTTCCCCATTCTCCCACCCTTATTGTCTCCCCTCTCCCATTGCCAATTCTACACACAGCAGCCAGAGTGACCTTTTACAAACAGAATTCAGATCATGTTCTTTCCCGGCTTAAAGCTCTTGGTGAACTTCAAATCCCACACAGAATGAAAAGCTAAGTCCTTGTAGTTCCATACATGTGATTCCTACCTTCTGGGTATATTTCATACCTCTCTTTCCCTCTTTCAAACATCCCCAGTCACATTGGCCTTCTTGTTCCTCAAATGTGGCCAGTATCCTGCTGCCTCATGACCTTTATGTTTACCGATCCCTTTGCTTGAAATGCCATGCCCCTAGACAATGACATAACTTATTCCTTTACTTCTTCTGGGTCTCTGCTTTAAGTCACTCAAGCAGACACGCTCTATTTAAAATAGTCAATCCTCCTACCACTCTGAACTCTCTTTATATTTCTTCATTGTATTTATCTCTGCACAATGTACAACAGTACACATACATCTCCATGGACATCATAGGTATCTTATCATGAACAGATGCTTATTTTTCATTTTCTGCACCCTTCTACTTGATTGATGGTGTAGTGGTTACGTGTTGGGCTGCTAACCTCAAGGCTAGCAGTTCAAATCCACCAGCTGTTCTGCAGGAAAAAGACGGAGCTTTCTGGTCCCAGTCTCACACCCCCACAGGGGCAGTTCTACCCTGTCCCATGGGGTCACTATGAGTCAGAGTTAACTTCATAGAAATGAGTTTGGTTGTTTTTTCCCCCTTTGGTATGGTGTGGTTGTGAGGTGACATCAAGCTGGTTCCAACTCATAGGAACCTACATACAACAGAATGGGACACTACCCTTTCCTGAGCCAGCCTCATACAGTCATTGCTATGCTTAGGCCCATTGTTGCTTAAGTCACTACATCATTCTATCTCATTAAGGCTCTTCCTCTTTGTCACGGAACCTCCACTTTACCAAGAATGATGTCCTTCTCCAGGATTTCATCTCTGACAACATATCCAAAGTACAGGAGACAAGATAGTGCCATCTCACTTCTGAGGAATGTTCTCTTTGTATTTCTCAGACAGATTTTCTCCTTCTTCTGAAAGTGTATGGTACGTACAATATTCTATGCCAACATCATAATTGAAAGGGATCAATTTTTCTTGGGGCTCCCTTTTTTATAGTCAGCTTCTGTGTGCCTACGAAGTGATTGAAAATTCCATGACTTGGTATGACGTCATTTTACTTCTTGACTGCTGGTTTGGTGTTTTCACTGATTCTGCTAATCTGTGTCCCCACTTGTGCAACTTGCTGTCTTATGCAAATTGTCCAACTGCTCTGAACCCTCCTAGTGTGGTCACCCTTGCTGCTTACCAAATAGTTCTTGCTCTTTTCCAGGCAAATGTCAGATTGCACATTCTGGCCCCTTGAAATTGTACAGGGTAATGGAATTATTTCTGGCTAATAGACTGTGCATAGAATTGATGTCTGTTCTTTGTTCTGTTAAACTGGCATTCCATATGCTCACCTTCCCAACACAATCACTGAAGACAAAGCGGGTGCATAAGCAAATGTGGTGAAGAAAGCCGATGGTGCCTGGCTATCAAAAGATATAGCATCTTGGGTCTTAAAGGCTTGAAGGTAAACAAGCGGCCATCTAGCTGAGAAGCAACAAAGCCCACATGAAAGAAGCACACCAGCCTGTATGAACATGAGGTGTCAATGGGATCAGGTATCAGGGATCAAAGAACAAAAAAATCATATCATTGTGAATGAAGGGGATTGCAGAGTGGGGACCCAAAGCCCATCTGTAGGCAACTGGACATCCCCTTACAGAAGGTTCAAGGGGAGGAGACAAGCCAGTGCAGTGTAGCACCAATGAAACATGCAACTTTCCTCTCGTTCTTTAATGCTTCCCCCACCTTCCACTATCATGATCCCAATTCTACCTTACAAATCCATCTAGACCAGAACATGTGCACTGGTACAGATAGGAACTGGAAACACAGGGAATCCAGGACAGATGATCCCTCAGGACCAGTAGTGAAGTGACAACACCGGGATGGTGGAGGGAGGGTGGGGTAGAAAAGGGGAACCGATTACAAGGATCTACATATAACCCTCCTCCCAGGGGGATGTACAACAGAAAAGTGAGTGAAGGGAGATGTCAGTTTAAGATATGACAAAATAATAATAATTTTTAAATTATCAAGATTTCATGAGGGAGGGGGGCAAAGAGGGAGGGGGAAAATGAGGAGCTGATACCAAGGGCTCAAGTAGAAAGCAAATATTTTGAGAATGACATTGGCAACAAATATACAAATGTGCTTGACACAATGGATGGATGGATGGATGGATGGTGGATGGATTGTGATAAGAGTTATACAAGCCCCCACTCAATAAAATTATTTTTTTAAAGAATTTATGTGTGTTGTCTTCAAGTTAGAACATTTTCTAGTCTGCAACAGACCTTGCTGTGCTCTAGAGAGCTCAGTCAAGATAAAGACCCATTCATCACTCTAGGTTTCCCAATGACTATCTCTAAGATAAACCCTCTACAAAGTGGATGTAGGCATGTAGCATGAAAAAATAAAACTTTTATTCTGTTAAACCACAAAGATTTGGGGAACCTTTGCCTCCCTAACACAGCCTAACCAATCCTAATTGCTGCACTTTTCTTTCCTGTTGACGCTCTCAGTCCCAAGACTTACATGTAGTAGCCTTTGCTCTGATCATCTTCAGTGGCCCATGTGATAATAACGATGATGGCCCCAAGAGCTGGAGGAAATTCTTCAAGGTCTTTTTCTCGTTGGGATCTCTATAGGACATCTGAAGAAGCAGTTCATATTCATGGACTGGACCTGAAGAGAGAAAGCGAGTCAACCCCCTTGCCTCAGTCTGGGAGGGAGACATTGCCGAGGAAATGATTCTGAAGCAACCATGATATTTGGAGGCCATGGACTATACTTAATTCTACTCATGGAGACCTTGATGTAAACAAATATCCAGCACAAGAACATGAGAGAGTTCTTACCTGTGCTTCATAGATACCTGTCTGCTCACTCTTGCCAGTCCCAAAGCTCCCAAAGCTCTTGATCCTTATCAGATTTTGCACTCTGCTAAGGAGGCATCTGTGTGGTGTGGTGGCTTACTTGTTGGGCAGCTAATTGCAAGGTCAGTTGTTTGAACAGGTTCAGCACTCCTCAAGAGAAATGTGAGGCTTTCTGCTCTGGTAAAGATACGCCACCTCAAAAACCCCTGGGAGAGTTCACCCTGTCCTGTGATGCTGCTAGGAGTGAGAATTGACTTCATGTCGGTGAGGTGGGTTTTTGAGTTTTGACCGAACACACAGAGTCACACTTCCTGTGCCACGTCTAAAGGAAGCTCCAGCGAAGAGACCCAAGTGGTCAACGAGCAGATGAACAATTCTCAACACTCTTCATCCTGCGGCCACCACCACAAGGTGCTGTCTAACAGGCTCTGTACTCATGGGACCCCAGGTGTGTCCAAGGATGCTTGTGCTCCAGGGAGTTTTCAAGGACTGACCTTTTAGTAGATCTCCAGGACTTTCTTCTGAGGCACTTCTGGACACATCCAAACCACTCATCTTCTGGTTAACTTCCAAGTATGTTGACCTCTTTGCACCATCCAAGGACTCTAAGGATTCCTCCGAGAAACCCACAGGGGCAGTTCTACACTGTCCTACAGGGTCGCTATGAGTAAGATTAGGGAAATCAAAATCAAAATCCTAAAGGATGGCTCTACTCATTTAAAAAAGAAGACGTGTTGGTGAGGAGATGGAGAAATGGGAACCTTCATCCATTGTCAATAGGATGGTAAATGAGTGCAGCCCTGCGTAAGCAGTTCGGCAGTTCCCCAGTGAAACTGAGCATCGACTGTTTCATATGACCCAGCAGCTCTGCTTCCAGGTCTGTACTCTAAAGAATCGAAATGTAGAATGCACACAAAGAGCTGCACATTCCTGTTCCCATTGCAGTGTTATCCACAGGAGTCAGCAGGTAAGACGAGCCCAAACATCCATGAACTAATAAATGGATGAACAAATGTTGAGGTGTACACCCAAAGACAGAAGAAATAATGAAGTCCCAATAGACACTAGAACATGGATGGACACCAAAACCAAGGTAAGTGGAAAAACCAGGGATAAAAGGCCGTCTCTTGTATGCTTCTACTTATATAAAATATGCAGGACAGGGAAATCCAGAGAGACAGAAAGCAGACTGGTAATCCTCAGGGGCTGGCGGAAACAGAAGTGGTAGGAGCCTGCTTAATGGGTCTGGAGTATCCTTTTAGGGGAGCATTGTAAATCTAAGAAATGCCGCTGAATTGGCTACGTTACATAAACCATAAATGATATGGTTTATGCTATGTGAATTTCACCATAGTTGTTGCTTTTTGTTTGTTTGTTATTAAACATAACGAAGAGAGAAGTGAGCACATCCTATTCCCGCCCCTCTCCTTCTCCCGGTTCTAAGTCTTCTTGCGTTATCTCCAGTATAGAAGCCCCAGCTTCATATTCTTGTCCGGAGTCCTTCCTTCTTCTGTAAAAAAAGGTGCCTTCATGAACTGAGTTTGGGAATCCATAGTAAAGGCAAACTCCAAACAAAACACATCTTGACTTCAGCCCCTGGTGTGCCTTCACCGGCCCATGATCATCTCGCAGTGGGCTTCTTCCCCTGAGGAAAGACGCTTCATCGCATTAAGCCGGAAGAGAAGATGGTCCTAAGTGTCTTGTCCCTCTCATCATTCCTTTTGCCACAGTCCCATGAAATGGAAATGAAACCTGCGGAGAGGAGTGTTGTCCAATGTCCTCTGACGATCATATATGAACGAGAGATCAAGAATGTGAAGAAATGTATACAGTAATAAGGCAAGCGGTGAGCGTCTTTTTAATCTGAGGTCTCTTTCAGAGTAGAGAACCCACTTAGAAATCGTTTAGACTTCTCAAGGTGGCGGGAGTGAGGGTGGTCCCTGGCCTTCTCTGGAACAGATAAGACAGGCAGCTTCTATGAGATATCTATGTCACATGTCTTCAGCACCCTGGAGGGCTAGGCAGAACGTGGTTTTATATAGAAACAAAGCCGATGGATTGATACCAGGCCTAGGCAGTTGCCCCAAGAAGTGAAAAGCTAAGAGGATTTCTACCACTGAGAGGAGGGGGAAAAAAGGATGGGTGAGTCTGGTCACCTTGTCAGGGGTCAGTAGGCCTGGTTCTGGAGCCAGATAGACTAGGTTTGAATCCTGGCTCTTGCCCCTACCTCTGAGCCTTAGCTATGTACTCCACAAAACAGAGATGATTGCTGTGCCTAACTTGGAGGGTCAGTGTGAGGATTTAATTCCTCCAATGCACTTCACATAGTGCCTGACACAAAATCACAGCTCCATAAATACTTGCTGTAATTTTACTGTCACTTTTTATTGTCTTGAAAGATATATTTGTGGCCTTCCAAGTGGAAATTTTAATTTCATTTTCCCCCGGAGGACTTGCCGGCCCTACAGTATTATTAGCACATGGAAGCATGGCAAACTCGTCAAGCAGTCTGGAGGTGTTGATGGACTGAGCCAAGACCGGCTAACCAATCCTGTGCAATCAATTCCATGAGGAAGGATGCTAGTATCTGAAATATCCGACAGACCCGCAAATTAAATTTCATAGTGCAAATCATTTCTAGACTGCAGGTTGTGCCCATTCATTACATGGTTAGGATCAACGTAAGGGAGGAGAGGAAGTACACAGGGCAGCTACTTGTTCGGCATACAAGATACTGCACCTGTATGAGATGATGCTTTAATTCTCACCTTTAATACTACACCTGTATTAGATGATATTTTAATTCTCACCTTTAATAGTGCACCTGTATTAGATGTTACTTTAATTCTCACATTAGTGACTCGCTAACAGTAATTATGAACCTTCTCATTTTACAGATGTGGGGATCAAACCACACCAGCAGCAGGCCTGTGTGTATTTGCACCGAGAACCCTGGCCGTGCTGTCTAATGGAGCCTCACCTGGGTGCTTCCTCTGATTCACAGGGAGTTCTCTCTTGGTTTGGATGTCATCGTTTCTCTGTAAAGAAGAAAAGGAAAGAGTTACCATGAGGCTCTGGAATGTGTACGTTACTCGACCTGGCTGGTTCCCAATGAACTCAAGTGGTGGATGTGAAATCCACGCCAGAGTTGGTGGAGGGGTCGCCGGCAAAGGGCCCTGGAGAGCAAAGATCTGAATGAGTTGGTGAGATCAGATCCTGGAGGAAGAGCTTTCAAGGCAGAGACAATGGCAAGTGGAAAGGCCCTGAAGTGTGAAGATGCTCGACACCTGGAGGCAGAGTGAAACGGCCGGGTAGCTGGAAAGGGACAGGAGGTGCCATCAGAAAGGGGTTTGCAGGAAATCAGATTGCATCAATTTTTATAGTACATGGTGAGGACATTCGTTTGAGGAAGATGCGAACCTGCTTACACCAACACTCACTGCTATCGGGCCCATGGTAACCCATAGCAACTGTATTGGGCAGGATAGAACTGCCCCTGTGGGTTTCTCAAACTGTAACTTTTTATAGGAGTAGAAAGCCCCATCTTGCTCCCACCGAGGGTACAGAGGGTCTCAAACTGCTGACCTTGCAGGTCACAGCCCAAATAGTAACCACTACACCACCACCACCCTTGGGCTCCCTACTGGGGAGTTTTAAACTGAGGAAAGGCTGGCACTGACATACTTTGAGAAGGTGCAGTTTTGTAGCTACGTTGAAAGCAGGCACACATAGAAACAACGAGAACATCAGGAGTGACTGGGGACTGACATCATGTGAGTGGTGGGATTCATGGTGGGCGTAAGAACGAGTCAGATGCTGGATATGTGCTGAAGATAAAGCCAATGCGATGCTGGTGTTCAGATATGACATATGAGGAGAGGAGAGGAATCAAGCTTGCCGAGTGTCTCGTCCGTGCACCTGGAAGGATGACGATGATGCTCGTGGAGCTAGGGAAGAAAGAACAGTGGTGGCGAGAGAAAAAAAATCTAGGGCTTGGTTGTGGACATAAGTTGAGGGGCCTTTGGTGCAGCTGAAAGGGGATGCTGAGTAGCAGTGGGCACATGAATGTAGAGGTTAGGAGTCTGAGATGCAGACACAACACAACAACTTGTGAAAGCAACTTACACCAGGTAGAAACCTGCCAGAGAAGGAAAACGCAAATATTTCTCACTAATGGAGAGTGATGAGAGAGTGGTAAAGGTGAGAAACTTGCAAAAACCACCCCCCACCCCACCCCCAAATAACAAGGAAGTCTCATCAAGTTCCAGCTATCACAGATATCACTGTATAAATGTAAGAGTTATCAGCCTGTATCAAACTCTAAACCTGCTCTTGTCAATTCATGGTAGCCCTGGAGTACAGAGTAGACCTGTGCCTTAGAATCCCCAAGCATGCTTTACCTAGGCAGACTGCCACAGCCTCCCCCACAGAGTGACTGGAGGATTTGAACCACTGACCTTTCTGTCAACAGCCTGGCACTTGGCCTGCTGCAGAGTAGCCGAGAGGAAAGAGGAATGAAAATACAGCCCAAGGAAGGCTAATGCCAATCCGTGTGCATTTTGTGCTTCTAAAATACATTTAAGTAGGGGAGGGAGATTGCACTAGAGAAGATAGATCTCCAAGAAAGTTTAGTCTGCAGTCTTCTTTTGGTAGTTCCGTTATCCACATTCCAAAGAGATCAAGTGATGTGTCCCAGGTCACGCAGGGAAGGGTGACACAAGATTACTGGCAATGTTAAGCCAAGACTTCAGATCCCTAGGGCTTCTGATTGCGAGTCAGAAAGTGAAGTATGCAGCTTCAGCGGCCTGGAGGACGATGGCTTCTAAAAGTGCCCTGGGAAAGGAGAGGCTGTGGAGAGGAAAGGCAGACTGCGCTCCACTCACCCCCAGGAGGCCACCGTGCCCAGCCAAGATCATGAAGAACGAGATGAGCCCCCGCACGCCGACTCTCATCATCGGTGCTCCCTCTCTGGCTCCTGGAACTGGACACAAAAGAGGAGCAGTGGGACTTAAGTGGACTCCCCAAAACAGGTCACTCAAAGCCCAAGCCTAAAAAACGCACTCAGCAGTCCTGACTGAGCTGATCAGAATCCTTGGGTATCTCACAGTCTCCCACTCCCTCTTCCTGTAGCCTGACATGCTAGCACTCTTGCTTCAGCTGTGGAAAGTAGAGCATTTGTGTGTCTTTGCAAACGTACTGGACATTTTTTTCTTTCACGTTGCTATGAGTTATCGAGCTTAACTAAACACAGTCTATTTTAATATCATGGTTCCAAGTTTGCAATTAGGTGCATTTAACATCATCGGGCCTTTTGTATTCACCAAAGTCTCCCCTCCAGTTCAGTGAAGACATGCATTAAAATAACCAAGGGCCCTCAGAACCATTAATACTCGAATAGGTGGACTGCCTAAGAACGAGAAAAAGCATACACCGATCCAGCTAATTTATCTTGTATGGTTGAAGGAATTACCAGCAGATTGTCCGCAGATCAAAGGTTCTCCGAATAATTTGGGCAAAACTCAGCAGGTAATTATGCTCAGATACTAATCATTCTAATCATTTATACTCAGATTGCGGGGCGTCAAAGGAAAACCAGAATGAGGGTGAAGTGCTCATGTATAGTAGCCACTAGACAAATGTAGCTACTTAAATTTTTAAAATTAGTTAAATTTTTGTCGACTCTCCAATTCCATTTCCCCAACACTGCAGCCACATTTCAAACCCCCACGGCTGCATGGGGCTAGTGGCTACTGTTTGGGCTGGGTCCGTACCGGGCAGCCCCTGGTACCAGCTTCTCGAGAAGACAAATGACCTGCTGAACTTCAAAGCACCTGCCTCCAGCATTTCACAAAGCTTACCTCCCTGGGCAGAACACAGCCTCCTCTCCCCAGTGTTCCAGGAAGCAAGAACAAAATGATTTACTAACAGGTCATCTCCTGACCCCAAGCTTGCAACCACAGCACAAAGAACCTCCCTTCCCCTTGCCGGCCCATATGCCTTTAAGCTCAAGCCCTATATATGTCACGCCACCCCAGTACCAGGCGCGACTTCCCTGACCTAACTCATTGGGTCTCGGAAACTGCCCGGGGGCTCAAGATGCTCCCATCCTTTTCTCTGCTCTCCCTTCCCTCCCGGGAGTTCTTTCCCTGCCTCAATAAAATCTTTATCAACTCCACATTCCTGGCTAAATTCTATCTCTGTTCGGCGCCTCCCTTCTACTTCTCAGCTCCCTTCCTGATCGATGCAGATGGAGAATAGTGCCATTAGTGCTGAGGGTTTATTGGACAGTATTGATGGACCAGAAAAAAATAGTTCCCAGTGGCCTCTGAAACTTTTTCTATATCTCTCCAGCACAGAGAGAAATTTATGGATCTCAAACCCAAAACCGCACCATTCGGTTTAGTGTCTTCCTGAGCAGCCCAGGCAGCAGGGTCGGAGCTTCCCTCCAGTTGTAAATTGCACTAGAAACTTCACACAGACGCGCCCGTCTCCGCCGCCACTGCCTCCCACATCAGCTTCCTCCTGTAACAGACAAGGCATGAGAGACAAGGCAATGACCTCCTCATGGGCCAATTGCAGCCAAGCCTCATCTAGCCCTATAACACCTGAATTTTTAATTTCAGAGAAAACTTTTTTGTTTTTATTCCTTACTTTCATAGTTATCAATATATATCTCAATATATACATTTAATTAAAGGTTATGAAAAGGTTGTGCTTGGCATTATAGGGCTAGGGCTCTTTAGCCAAACACGTAGAAATCAGCAATGTGCCCCCCATTGGATGTTGTTAGTCTCCTTCTAACTATAGGTAAATTGTTCTCTCGTGCATCCAACCTTGCACTTGTCAAGGATTCCTCCTACAGCTGTTGTTTATAGATGTAGCAACTACCCCTTCCAGAACATTCTTGAGATCATCACAATGCTATCTCCTCTGAGTCCCATGAGCTCTGGCCTGTGCGTTCTGCTTCCCTCCAAACCAAAAACCCACCTCTCATTGAGTTCATTCTGACTCAAAGTGACCTGATAGGACAGAGCAGGGCTGCCCTACGCTTTCTGAGACTCACTCCTCATGGGAGCAGAAAGTCCCATTGTGCTCCCCAAGAGCAGCTGGTGGTTTTGAACTGTTAGGGATTGAGTAGCCCAATCCGTGACCACAACACTGCCAGGAGTCCTATGTTTCTTTCCTCCCCAAATCTTCAAACTCACTGCCATCGAGTCAATGCTGACTCACAGTGACCCCTTTGGGGGTTTCCCAGACTGAAACTGTTTATGGGAGTAGAAAACCCAGCTGTCTTTCTCCTGAGGAGCTGCTGGTGGTTTTGAACTGCTGACCATGCTGATCGCAACCCAATGTGTAACCACTACACCTAGAGGGGGGAATATTTGTCTCTAGAGCAGTGTCTTTCCAAATCATTGGACCTGGTCCCATCTTAAGGAACACACACCCACCACAAACACACACACAATTCTTGGATATGGTCTATCATCTTAATTTTATTTTATTGCTCTTTCTTGGTTGACAGTTTCCACTAAATAGATTTCACAACCTCCTCTTGGAGCACAGGCCCTCTGCATTGGGAGCAGGGGCAGTTTTCCGTCCCGTGGTGCTTTCTCTCCACTTCCAGGGAAGGGTTGTTCATTTGCATGCCTGGGTACCATTTGGCCCTGGTGTGTAGTGATGGAGCTGTCAGAGAAGATGACCAGCTCCGCCTACCTGGGTGTAATCAGTCCTCTCTCTTATTGACAGGGGCTGCTTCCCTCACCATTCACTCGTACGTTCTCTCTCTCTCTCTCTCTCTCTCTCTCTCTCTCTCTTTCTCTGTCTCTCTCAAAATCTCCTTCTCTCCTCCGAGTCCAGGCCTGAGACAGCCTGGGGCAGAATCTCAAGCACCATGGAGAACTTTGTCACACACTCTGGGTCCCTTTATCGCCTCTTCCATCCCCACCCTCACCCCCACCGTCTGCACTGGGGGGTGTATTCTGGGACATGCTGAGAATGGTAAGATGCTACTTTCAGTCAGGAATTCATGCCAGTCATGATTAGCTGGACTGTAAAGAATGAAGGAGGAATAGGAAGAAGGAGAAAGAAGCAAGAGGAAGAGGAGGAAGAGGAAGAGGAAAGGATAAAGCATTTAGGAGCAGACTACATGATGGGCTGCTAACCCCGTGAGCCGCTCCATGGGAGAGGAAGGAGCCTGGAAGTAGTTAGTCTTGGAAACCCAGTGGGGCAGGTCTACTCTGTCCTCCTGCGTCGCTGTACGTCGGAATGGGTTTTGGTAGAAAATACAGATGCACTTCATCTGATACTAAACCCACTGATTCTGAAGTATCTCCACAGAAAATGATGAAAAATGTCCTTTTATTTTCATATCTAACTCAATTGCTCACCAATAGAATGAGTGTCTTTAAAAAAGAAGACGAAGAAGTGTCTTTGATTAGCAGGCCAACCCTGGCCTGTGTGTTAATGAGGTGGCACTCACATCCAGGCAGACAGGGATCAGTCTAGGAAAGAAATGGATACCAGCCTCAGTCTAGCAGTAAAACTGTTCTTTGAGCAATGGACCCACAACACAGACCCGTCCATTTGATTGCCTTGCTTCTTCATACAGACCCTTCTCTCTGGGGTAGTGTTGGAAGATTTAGCAAATCGAAACACAGAAAACCCTGCTAAATTGAATTTCAGATAAGCAGCCAATCGTTTTGTTTTGTTTCTTAATATAAGTATGTCCCATGAAACATTTGTATGTTACTCATTGTCCCAAAGGATGTGCTGTTTACATGAAATTGAAACCTGGGTGGATCATAAAGTTGACAGGCATCAGAGAACAAAGACCTGATGCTATACATCTGTAGGACTGAAGCCACTGAAAATCCTACAAAATGCAGTTCTACCTTGACATTGCTAGGATGGTCATGAGTCAGCATTGACCGAACTCTCACAGGGTCTGTATGAGAAAGCTAGTGGTATTCTCAGGTGGATGGCTCACAGCAGGCTCTGTAGCTAGACTGCCTAGGCTCAGGGCCCAGCTATGACTTTATCAATGGGATGCCTTTGGGGATTTTCTAAGGTTTTCTATACCTCCATTTATTCATCAATCCAATGGGAATAATAATACCAAATTCATAGGTTATTATGATAAAGTGCCCCAGATCAGTGCCTGGTAGGTGGTAATCTTGAACTATGGGCTGCGATTCATGTTAGCAGAGCCTTGGTCAGGTTGGGGGTTACACTGTGTGCTCCTGTAAAGACTTATAACCTCGGAAACCCAAAGGGGCAGTTCTATTTTGTCCTCTAGGGTCACCCTGTTTCAGAATCAACTCCAAGGTGTGGTCTTTGTCAATGTTAACATTTCAATCTCAATGAGAGTTTTCACTTGCTGGAGTGAGCAATAATTTGACTCCAGAATTTAGCCAAATTAACTAATGACTTAAAAGTTCTCCCTGGATTGATAAACCCAACGTATAAATGGAGGGATTCCAGCCTCAAGGCAACTGTACATTTTCACAATGACTGAATTCTCCCCCTCAAAGGAGAGCCCGCAGCCACGAGGATACCAGGAAATCCTTCCTAAATGTGTATAAAAAATATAAATCAAACCAGTTGTGGTTCAGTAAATCCCAACACATGGTGACCCTGTGAGTGTCAGACTAGAACTCCATAGTCCATAGGTCTTCCAACGGCCAGTCTTTCAGAATCATTTTGCCAGGTCTTTTTCCAAGGTACATTTGTGTGAACTTGCACAGCCAACCTTCTGGTTAGCACCTGAGCCTGTGAACCATTTGCCCAGGGACCCCTGGGTGTGCTGTGAGTAATAGAAGTGTTGCCACTTAACTTGGCCTTCACAAGGTGCAAGCCTCCGTGCTTGTCAGCACTTTCCTTCCAAATCCTGATGATCAACAAGTGCTCAGGATTCGTGTGGCCTTGCCACAGATGAGGAGCTGTGGTTGTCATCAGGGCCTGGTGTGTTTACATCACATCTTGCTCTGTGGCAGCTGGAGACCTGAGCCCCAGCTGTGTTGGCACCCGCTTCCGTAGGAAAGCTTGGTCATGGTGGGGACCTCCCTTGCTTCCTTGAATTCATTCAAGTGAATTCATTTCTGATAATCCCTGCCCTTCAGTTTACAGTGAACAATCATTAGCGTTGGCTATTATGCCTCTGGAGACAGCTGCCCATTGTCTCTCGATTCTTCCAGTTATGTATTTATGGCCTCCGCATACCATTTATTTATGTCAACAGCCCTCTCCTTATCAACAGTGGGGCTTAGTTGTGACTGCTCACACCTACACTTTCTAGCATTTTTAGTAACAATCTAATCTTAGGCACAGTTGAACTCTTAGGCTGCTTCCCGAGCACCAATATTTATGGGAATATGTTTCTTTCACTATAAATAGAAGAAATCCTCATAACATTGTCTCTCTCATCCCTGTCTCGCACTCTCAATTGTACACACACACACCAGCAAAAAATGAAAAACCAAACGCAGTACCAGCCCATCCATTCCCACGCATGGTGACCCCACGTGTTAATGAGTAGAACTGTCCCATGGAATTGCACTTGGCTGTGATCTTATCTCAGCAGATCTCCAGGCCTTTACTTTTCACGACTGCTGGGTAGTTTTGAACCATAAGCCAACATTTAGGTAAGTAACAATAAATAACTTAGTGCCATTGAGTCAATGCCAACTTATAGGACAGGGTAGAACCGCCCTTGGGGTTTCCAAGACTGTAACTCTTTACAATAGTAAAAAGCCTCATAGTTAATCACAAATCACTTTCATTACTGAGGAATCTTACACACACACACACACACACACACATTAATGGAAGGAGCAAGTTGCCACACAGAACTTAAGAGAGGTCATGACTCAAAGAGTCACCTGACAAAGACCCTTAAGGGGTGGGTACCTTGATTTTATTTTATCTCTAATGTTTACTTGAAATTTTCATAGCATTTTCAATGGGCTCTCTCTGTGTACATGAGCCTGGAGGTCATTTACTTGAGAAGTATTTCCTGGGGCTCCTTTTGGTAGAGGGATGCAGCAGACAAGATGGGCAGAAAGGCAGAAGCAGCATCTACTCAGTAACTGGGAAAACCTTAGAAAGTTGTACTAATTTTGGTAAGCATATTATTGACAGATGTTAATCTACCTCTGGGTTGCACAAACAGGTTGCACTGGACAATGACCCTAAAGGTTACCCGTACGAAGGTGCCTGGGAAGGACCACCTGACAATCTGCTTCTACGGATGATAGTGGTAGAAACCCCACGGAGCAGAGTTCTAGTCTGTAGCTGCTGGAATCCCCATGAACCGCCACTGACTCCAAGCCACAGATTAAAGTCTCCCTGGTGTCTGCATAAATACATGTGTGGGTCCACTTACAGTTGACACATGTGTCGTATCATGTATAAGCGTGCTCTGATGTTGTATACAGACAGTGGGCAGGACCCAGGTGAGTTAGACCCACTGCTGAGCTGCTCCC